GCACTCCAATAAGCTCGATCTCCCACCAACCCAAACAGCTCCCCAAACCATCATGCTGAAACCACCATGCTTCACAGTTAGTTGCAATCTCTTTGGTAGAACATATACACCAGGTAATGGGTACTGCTGAGTGAAGTTTGGTAGAACATATACACCAGATAATGGGTACTGCTGACTGGTTCAACTATAAGAATGGTTTGAACCATTGTGTGCACAGAGTGCCATTCAGGTGAACAAACAAACAAACAATCAGCTAGCATTGTTAGTTATGATACCAACACGTTTCTGATTTTTTATGCTTGCATTGTATCAGTGTACCCACTATAATGATTTTTCTTTACATTAATCAGTTTCATGTGTAAATGATGTATATTGTATTCAATTATATATTTACTTGTTTTTTAATTTTAGGGAATCCCAACTTGTAAATGATTTTGACAGTGAGCGAGAGTCATTGAAGAAAATGTTGGAGTCTGCTCAGTCTCAACTGGAACAGCAAGAAAAAGAAGTCTTGAAGAAAGATCAAGAGGTATTTGTTGAACTATGTAACATAATGTTGTAGTGGAATGAAATGGATTTCTTGTAGTGATTGAATATAGATACATAATATGCAAGGGTTTATATTATAGCTACAATGTAACCATTTATTAATTTTCACTTTTACAGTTCACAAATATAGACTACTTATCATAAAAGTTTAGCCAATTTACCCAAAATATTATCAAATATTTACTCACCTTCTTCCTAGATAATTAATATATTGTTACGTCTCTGGTCATTAGTTAATTTTCCGTAAAAATTCTTTCCGAAGAAACTTTAGCGATACAAGTCCTTTCTTAAATAAAACTGGTTTATTCTTTCTGAATACAACTTTGCAAGACACTTAATTTCCACAGTCTCGCTATAACAAACGCTATAATTCACAACGAACGTCTCACGTGCTCGCTCAACAATACGTCTCCCTCTGTCCGCAGTTCAATTACCCATTGTTGCTGTCAGTTCTTGGCAGTTTATATACAAGAATACCGTATATCTAGTAACGTCTCGAGGTTTCATGAACGTTCTAGAAGCACATGACGTGTTACTAGCATCACGTGACCTCCGCTACCATAACAATATATCTGCCAGTCTGATAAGCTGATAGTCACATTGTTCAAGCACTACCATATCAGTTATTGAAAAATCATATCACTATTTCGCATGAATAAGGTGGGGGTGGTGTGTTGCGTACTTTCATATGTTCATGGATGAAACTGTTTACATTCAAAAAATGCATGTAACTTTACCTGATCTAATAATTTACAATTTGTATTTACTTAAAATATTTTCATTTCCCAAACTCAAATGTTTTTAATACTGCATATTTTTTACTTGTATCTCTCAGAAAGTTTTTCACTGCTGATATATCTATATTTAGGCAAATAGTTTTTTTTCCTTTATGTTAAGTATCATAATCAAAGTATGAAAATGTCTATGAACATTCAAAAATAGTTTTACCTTACAATATGCTTTTAGTGTATTTTTTCTGTTTTTTTTTCATGTTTAACAGGTGTTTCATTAACTCTTATAAAAAAATGTTTTCTTCTTCAGTTAGCATCATTACGGTTAGATGATACTACACTTCAGAATTACAAAGTTCAGCTTCAAAATATTGAACAAGAAAAGAAACAGCTAGGAAGCAAAATTGTGGAGCTTCAGGTAGCATTAGCCAGATCTCAGGCTAATGCTAATGTTGAAGGTCAGCTGAGTTATATCTTAACTATTTATGTGTATTTTGGCAATACATTGATAAAACAATTACCTTTACTCTCCACATAAAATAAAAAACATTTTATTTCAGCCACCATTTTGCCAGTTCTTGTACTACTAGCCCTGATTAACCTGTAATGGCAAAACGTTGTCTGAAACAAAAAGTTTTTTATTGTTATTATTATGTGAAGATTAAAGGTTTTTAATAACTTTATTACCAAAATGTCTAAATCCCTCAAGTATGCACTATAAAATCTGAAAAACAACAAAATATTTATTTCTATATGTAAATATGAAGTTTTTAACCAAAATGTTTAAATGTATTATCAACCATATATAAACATTTAGTTTGTTTTCTTTTCCTTTATGACATTGCAAAGATTCTTTGTAGTGTGCATTCAAAATTGCTATTAGTTACTAAGGTTTGCAATTGTTTTTTTTTCTTGTCATAACACAAATTAGTATAATCTGATACATCTTACCTCCTTTGACAAATAGCTTTTCTTGATTTATACTGCCCTCTATATGCACAAATTTATGCTCACTACTAGCCTTGTTACTTCAACCTACCCTCATGTGTGTTCACATGAGACATCTGCATGCTAACATGCAGTAACCCTCCACCTATAGGAGTGAAATACAACTCTTATCATCACTGTTGCAGTCACCCATTGCACTGTCTCCAGTGCAGCATTCCTTCAGACTCTCCAACGTGCTGTTTCCCCTCTTCTTCTAGTGGAGTATGGGAGTCGTTGCTACTCTTCTGTACAGTCTATTGTACTGCTAGAACATGTTTTCGTTCCTACTTTCCTACTGATTGTTTTCAATGAATAATTCCATCGATTTTCTTGCTCAAATTTCAGATATTATTCAAGGCTTCGTATATTTTTTCTGGGTTTTTCAAACTGTAAGTTTTCAAGTTCTTACTCTTTTGGAGCTTCACTTATCCTTTTTCCCAGTCAAATCCACTTGTCGTGGTCTCACAATTCCATGTTGTAACTACCACTGCTGCTGTGATTACTACAGCTGATCCTCCTGCCTCACAGTTGCATTTCATTTTGGGGAGGTACCCAGGTCTCCTTCTCCCTTTTTCAGCTTAATCAATCAGGTAGATTATATTTTTCCTCCTTCTGTTGGTGGGTGGATGTCATGGATCAGACGTGTTTGCTGTTGATGTCCACTGCACTTTTATTTCACTATTCCTATGTGGTCCTTTCCCCGCTCATTCTTTTCTTCCCCAAACTTCAGCTGTCGGGATGGTAATTCTGCCTTCACAACCACCTCCCTTCCTTCCCTATCACACCTTTATAACTGTTCTGACCTTGCTCACCTCCTCTATCCAGTCAGGGCTCTCCACTGTTATGTGGCATGCACTGCTTCCTTCCGTGGTTCCCATTCCTGTTTGTTTATTCCTTGGAATCCCTCCCAGTACTATGATCTTTCTCCTATTTCCCTTATAGGTTGGATTTGACAGCTTCTTCACCTGTCTTAATCTTCTCTTTCACTGGATGTTTTTTGTCTTTTCTGTGTCTCTTCACATCATATCTGTCACCTGACCATGCCCCAGGCTACTAATTTCTGTCATCTATTGGAGAAAATCATTCATGCTAGTATGTGGACCACTCTCCATATCTTCACTGATCATTATCTTCACTACCTGGCCCTTTCCTGTTGTATGTGTTTTCGTTTTCCTCCCATCACCATTTTGCACTCCACAATTTCTCTATGTATGTTTAAATGCTCCTTTTTTCTACATTTTCTTTGCAGGGGCTATTTTTCACAACTTAGGATCCCACTTTGTGGTGAGTGTTGCCTGACAAGGTATATTTATTCTTAAATCCGCACTGAAAAACCTGTGTATCAAATATGGCCACTGTTGAGATGGGTTGTTTCACAAGACTGCTTGAAGGTATAACTTGCAGTATTTTGCTTCATAGATATGTTTGTTCCAGACTATATGCTCATTGACTAACATGAGTAAAGCATACAAGGATTGCTGCCCATCCCTGATGATCCATGTATTGTAGGTCACTGGATCAGTCTGCTTTTCAAAATAAGGTGTTGCAGTCACCCATTGCACTGTCTCCAGTGCAGCATTCCTTCAGACTCTCCAACGTGCTGTTTCCCCTCTTCTTCTAGTGGAGTATGGGAGTCGTTGCTACTTACCAGTTTCTAGCTGCTGGGGTAGTGTACCATGGAGGCTTCTTCCTGAGTGTGTTCAATCCCACTCAGATGAGAGTAGTGTGGTGGTGTTCTGACATTGTAGATGGTATTGGTGCTCATCCTACCAAGGGCCTGTTGTACAATTCCAAATGCCTTCAGGTGATGGACAATGCATTTCACCCCTCCAGCTGAAGCACCTTCCTTCCTACCACTGCCCAGATGATGGTTCACGACAAATATGGTGATGGTGGGAACTAGACCAGCCACATAAGCCCTTACATGTGTGGCAGGGTACCTTCCTCCTACTGAGGATTGGATGATACATTCCCAATGTTGCCTTGTGATGGACTGGAGATACAACCCCACTTTCCTGTCCACCATCCTACCATCTCCCAGATATTGGTTCCCAGCAGCTATGATGTTGGTTGTGTTGGATGTGTACATATGATTCTACCCTCATTGTGACACATTTTCACGTGGGAGAAGAGTATACCTGGTTCAGAAGTGGTGCATTCTCCCACAGGGGTGTTATTTTCCATTTATTCACACATCACATGGTCTTTCTTTGGGCACTTTCTAAAGGGGATCAACTTTTCACCAGACCCACCACCAACTCAATGTGGGATTCTAGTTATTTGTGAGGGGAGGTAAGATATTGTATCAGAAATTAACATTTTCCTACACTGAAAATGTATTTCTGATAGATACTTAACCTCCATTCACATTTCCCACCTGACTTCCCCACTTCTAGTGCCCAATCTCAAAGTGATTACAGGCTACATTGGAAGAGAAGGTGCTAGTAATGATAGGAGTTGTCTCGCAATCCTATTGGTGGAGGGTTGCTGCATGGTCATTTGCATGATAGCATGCAGATGTCTCATGTGAGGGTAGGTGGGGCTGTCAAGGCTAGTGGCAAGCAAAAATGTGCACCTATAGAGAGCAGTATAAGTTGAGAAAAGCTATTTTTGATAAGAGATATATCTATTGGAAATACATTTTCAGTGTAGGAAAATGTTAACTTTTATGAAATTTACTGATATAAGGGTTTTTTGACAATGTCTGTTTTTCCTAGATCCAGAATACAATAGAATTACAGAAGAAAAGGAAGCTCTAGATGCACAGGTATAGCATATTTTTGATAACATGTTCATGATCTATATAACTTAACACTCACTGTTATCTAGAAGTAACTTATTTTTAAGTTTTAATTTGTGTGTTCTCTACCTGTATAGTTTTAGAGTTGAAAATCTGGTCTTCATGAAATTCCATTTTAGTCATCAAATTGTGCTTCTTTCCATGGAAGCAATTTTACTATATTTTTGTGTCAGGAAGGTGTTTTTCACAAGTGTTTGTTACTTAGAAAAAGCCTTTATAAACTACAAAAATCTGTGTTTTTGTCTTGCCTAGTTTGATAGTACATTTTTATTTTTTATGTACTATAATTATTGATCACTAGTTGATGGTAATTGGATCTTTTTTTTACTGTATATTTGATATACCTAAGTAGAATGACATTTTGTGAAATACAACTTGTGAATGTATAATTGGCATAATGGATAAAAGTCATATCTCATCCATCACAATAATAACACCTCTTCCAACACATCTGCTTATCACATAGTTGATGTAACTTGAGGTCTTGAGACACACACTTCTGTCTTTACCTGTATATGACAGATATTATACAAGAAGACCTCAGTTATCTTCACTGATTCAGGAGCTGATTACCATAACTTTATTATGCCTTTCTCATAATATATATTAGATACATGTGCTTTTCATACATTCTAGTGATGTATAGACTTGCATCAATTTAAGATTTCAGCTATCACTTTACTACTGTTGTTGAGAAACAATCATTGACAATTTAAGATGTAGTTTTGTAAAACAATAAATCTGAAGTTAGTGTAACTCATAAATTAATTGCCAGTTCTTAAATATTTAGAACTTGAAGTGGGATCACTGACTTATATGTAATACCAATCTTTCAGTGATTTTCAATGTGACAGTAGAAACTCACTACATTATCACATTCTAAGAAACCAATGTTTTCTGAAAAAGTCTTTAATTACTTTGCAAAACTTCCAGGGAATGGGGAAAACCACCACGTAATTAAGTTGTATTTCATCATATTCTCCATATCTTAGAGTTTGATAGCTTGTATTCTTTAACAAAATGTTTTTATGTTGACATGTGAATTTCTACTTCACTGGTTCACTTTTGACCACTTAAAAAAATGTTGTGTTATTTTTTTACTTCTCAACAACACCTCAGTTGGGCATCTTTATTACACTGTGAAGTAAGAACTTTTCTCAGGTTCAATATTTGTATCTCAGCTTATTCATCCATTATAACTAGTCTAATCTCTCAGTTTGTAATTATTTGCTCTGTTTCATCTTGAAAATTATAAAAGAAATTTCTTTAAGCCTGAGAACATATTTGTATTTTTAACATTTAATGTTGTAAACTTTATTCAAATTAATTATAGTAATACTTGTCGTTCTTTCAGATTGAATTTTTGAATTCTGTGATTGTGGATATGCAGAGAAAGAATGATGAGCTAAAGTCAAGAATTGAGATTTTGGAGACTGGTGAAACCTTTGATAGTGGAGATTTGAATTTGTAAGTATTGAACATAAAACCACCTTAGTTATTCCACTATTGACATAGAAAGCTGTAGCAGCCATTCCCTTGCCTTTACAGTGTACTAAATACCTGCTTTTTGTTAAAATACAGTAAATGTTTTGCCAAGTAATAAATGTTTTCTTTATGTGATCAATTCAACATAAGACAGTTAAAGTCTCAAACACTTAGCCTAATCTGTTGCATCTTGGAGCTACATGTTCTTGAGGTGTGACTTCACACTTCTTGATCAACTATAAATCTTAAGAGTGTTTGTTGAAATTTAGGTTCTGTTAAGATCTTGGAGGTTTTAATTCACACTTTCTGACCAGTCACATATCTTAAGACTGGTGAAGTTTAGCAATGGTGCTTACAATGTTATGAACATAGAAATTTAAAATTTTCGTACCTATAAGGTATACCTTGTCATACCAGAGGACAATTACTAGAATGTTGCCTGGGGAGGAGAGATTGAAATCTCTGATATTGTTTTCAAGATAAGAGTTAGAGGGGATCTGATTGAGGTTTGATCTGATTTTTAATAATAGTTTAAATATATATATATATACTATGAGCGGAGTTACAGAAGCCAGGAGAAAATTATCATCGTGAGTGAACGAGATTGCAGAAAGTGCAAAACTTCAATCTATTTTTTAAAAAAAACTTGTTGAAAATGCATATTGACAAAACTAATAATACTAAACATTCTATATAAATCAAGCATACCTCTGTTTGGCCAGGTTATTCTTTCCTACTAATCATAATTATCTCATTGCAAAGCATTTTAAGACCCACAATCATTCTTTAGAGCACTATAAGATCCTTGCTTTCTTCCAAACTCTGACCAGTAGAAACAAACAGGAACTCCTTCAAAACAAAATAATGCTTCATCTGGGCCCTGTGAAATATATGTGAATTGTTCAGTTTCTTGTGACAAAATATATCAACACACCCATATTTTTCTTTGGGTGCCATAAGATGACACATTTTCTTTTAAGTATTTATAATTATACCCATTTGTAAAATTATAAATTTATTTTCAATTTAAAGCACAATAAGTATACTATATATTTATTTTGTACCATGAATTTCTTGTACTGTAATGATTTCTTCTCTTTTTTTTTTATCAAAGTCTTGTATTGTTTTTAATTTGTGACTTACAGTTTACTCATACACACACATATATATATTTAAATACCATTAAATACAGAAGTACTTAATAGTAGGGATCGCGATGAAACAAAATGGCAGCCATAAAAATCCCCCATTTAAAACCACCTTTAAAATATCTCAGTATTAACAACGACTATTTCACAGTATTAGCTGAGTAAAACTAATTCTTATTGTACTTATAAAGCTGCCTAAATTGCTATATATGTGTTTATGGAGTGAATCAAAATTTCACAATTTCAACGAATTTTCATCTAAGTAACTAAGTGACTTTTCCAGACAAGTGTACAGAAAAAATGAGGAACTTTACTGCTCTAATTTTTTCACAGAACTCTTCTGTCTGGGGTACCAATGATTCTATTCTTAAATAGAAAAAGATACTAGTGTATGTGTATATATAAAACAGACAGTGCTCTACTTTGGCATATAATTATATTTAAGGGTAGGTTGGTAGAGATCCTGATGAGTAATAAAATCGAATTATATATATACATACACCCCACACTTGGTATTGCTGGCACACAAAAATATAGCTAATAAAAAGAAAATAAACAAGTATAATAAAACATATTTAAATTTTATAAAGACAAGTTGGGATTGATATATATATATGTAACCTAGCTAGCTATAGTAATATAGAAAGTTTTAATACTTTGTTTGTTTAATTTACTTTTAATTTATCTTCTGATTGTAGTTACTTTGTTTTTTTATAGTGTTAACTCTTGCTTTGTGGATTTAAAGTTTGTTTTCCCTCATTGTTGTCTTTGATGTTGTTATCACACGCATTTTATCATTTTTACTTTATTGAACATCATAGTTTTTAAAACTGTGCAACAATCTGACAAAAAGCATCTATTGAAAATGTCATAATAAATTAATTTAACCAGTATTTCAATGCCATTTTTTTAACTTTAGTTTTATTCCTTCCCATTTACCTAATAGCCATACATTCTATATTAAAATATTTCCTTTTTGACTATATGTGTAAATTTTTATCTTTGCAACAGTATACATGTATATTGTGTGATTATTAAATTTAAAGTCTAGGCAAAAGAATTTAAAATACTAAGCCTAATTGACCTCTTATCACTACCTAGTGCTTGACTTTGCACTTCTCATTTAGGTTGTAAATTTCTTTTACCCCTTAGCCATTTTACCAGATTTTAAAGACATTCCCTATCTAATGTTAACATTTTCCTTACCTAAAAATGTATTTCTAGATACTCACCTTTTCACAAAATTTAGCTATATTCCTCAGCTCTTCTATGCATTCTTCCAGAGAGATTTGCATGCCACAAACCTTAAGAAAACTCCCACCTAATTTCATGTGAACTGGCACCACTGTAAGATGATGTCATAATGTAGCAAAAGCCATCCACTAATAGGAGGGCAATATACTCCCATATGCACTAACTCCCTCTATACATTTACACTAGTGAATCTTCATTCTTTGAGGAGAAAAGTAAAAAAAGGTGCACGGAAGGATGAGTGAGAATGTGTAAAGAGGTATCTATCAGAAATACATTTTCAGGATAACGAAAATATCAAATTCTGAAACATGCTCACTTCCTCACGTAGTTTAGTTAGAATCCACGTTAAGATGGTAGAGAGAATGGTGCAAAGATAAGCCTCCTTCATAAAGCATCTGAAGGAAGCCCATGGGGTGTGACAGGGACTCCATAAAGGCACACCCATGGGAGACTGTATCTTGTCTCATCAGACCATACCTTGTGTGCTCACCTCCTCCACCATCAGACTCGATGGGTCGAAACAAGCTATGTAAGAAGAGCACTTGTGATAAGTACCATCCTCACCTTCTATACATGCCAGCTGCAGGAGGAGAGACTGTATGTATATGTTTCAGTATGAATACTTGTATTCACCTATACTCAACTGTCAGTCTTTATGGGCTCCTTGCCTGCTGCAGAAGTAGGGTATTTGAGAGATACATCACTGGTATGTATGGTTTATTCACCTCAACTCTACCATCAGACTCTACAGGCCCCATGCCAGCTGCAGAAGGAGGGCACCATATTGTGTTGTTACAGTATGGATATTTTTATACACCTGTACTCAGGCACCTTGCTGGCTGTGGGAGTAGAACATGTTTGTAATCTAGTAGCAATGGTAATGGAGTGTTCATTTCGACTTTACTGAACAGAAACAGGCTGCAGGAAGAGGATTTGTGAGATATAGGTATTGAATGGATTGGTATAGTGAGTTGTATCAATAGTCCATACATAGTGATGTATCATAGATATGTATGAGGAGGACTACACTGTCAGTGTCACCATATTCCCACTTCTCACTGTAATGAGACCCATTGTTCTAGCCTCAGCAGTTTGGTACCAATCTGTGCTGATCCTCCATGGCGCACCACCCCAGCAGCTAGGAACTGGTAAGTGGCAAGAGTCTTCCAGACTCCATTTGACGAGACAGGGAAAATTCACTTAGGTGTCCTCCCAGAATTGACTCGAGAGCCAACTTCATCACTAGAGTCCAGTATTTTGTTGGTACTATGATCTGTTTAACTTCCCCAGTAGAACTGCCTTCAAAGATTTAGTACAGCACTCCCTTTTGATCCTTTGTTCTGTAGGTCTTCTTCCCTTTGGTCTTGTGCTCCATTTTCTCCCTGGTACTGTCCCAAAGATTCTGCAATGTCATAACATGCTCCGAACACTACTGGCCATCAATTATGCACTGTTTAATCTTGGTGATAGAATTTTCTTCTTGTGGTGATTCTAATGAGTTGTCTCCATTTTATTTCTTCTGGCAGCATAATCTATGATGACAAGCTCTCTTTTCTTGTTTCTTGTCATGACTATCTCTGTAGGTAGCTCCAGCTGCTTTATGTTGAAATTTCTGTGGCTACTTGTTGGTGACAGACTTGTGCTTGTTTGCAATGTGCCCCATTTTATAACAAGCATAACAACTCTTATCCCTTTTGTCTATTAACCTACTGTCACCTTTAATGGCATCCTGCTTCTGGTCAGCCACCCCTGGTTTCAACTTTAACTGGATATTCTTGGACTTGATGGTTATACTCTCTCCATGGGCTTCCATATACTGTTCTTCCAGCTTGATCATCTCATCCACATATTTTGATGCTCTCTCCTTTAGGAACAATAACATGTCATTTGAGCACATGACCATGAACTGTCCACATATTAGTAGATCTGCCAGGCCTTCAAATTTATTTTTACACTTGGCCTTGTCAATTCAGCTTGTGAAGTATCACTGTAGACGTGCCACAAACTGAAATACAGTTTTTCCATTGTTAGGTTTGACTTCTCTGAACTTCTGACAAAAACCTTTGGTAAGTTCATAGCATTTTAGTAAGTCCATAATTCATGGCATCTTCTGACGTCATGCCAGCATATACTTTAGGCCTTTTCCTGTGAAAAGGGGACTGAGATGGACTGTTCAGTTGCTTTTGTCCCAGTTCTGACTTTGGGCAAATCTTTCATACCTCTCCAGGAAAACATCCGTGTCGTCTTTCTGTTCATCAGATTTGGGCAGCTTGGGTCGGGTGGCCCTGACCCTATTGTCATTCTTGGGTCCTTCATCTTTTTGTTAGGTGAGCTTGACAATCTCAATTTCTCTCTATTTCCAGTCTTTCCTCTCATCTCTGCCTCTCCTCTGTTGATGCTTTTCTCTCTCTCTAGTTTGTGTTGTTGTTATTGTTTAAAACAAACTCTTGTAGATTGCTATCTATGAACACAAGTTGCTCACCTCTCTCTATCCACTTATCAAAATCAATCAACATAGTTGTATAGTGTGATTGTAATCTGTACAATATTTTTGGCACCACTACAGCTGTGTATATAAGC